GGGGGGGGGGGGGGGGAACGTACAACCTTTTGTTAACGCTGTACATGCTCAGTCCATGAGTAACAAATGATAAATAATTAACAAACAAGCTACACGTTAGAGCACGAATGTACCACAATGAACAAGGGTTTTACATAATCCTGATATTATGAAACAGGAGGGCCCTACAAACTAATCTCTCTCCAATATTCATTAAACGCCGCGAACCGTTTCCGGCTTTCCATGTAAAGAACGGAAGCAGACACTCAACGCGGCTCGGCTGATGGTAATGACAAGGTTTGACGTGAACGACCGAAGAGAAAAACCCAGCTGAGTGGTATGGAAATGGGGTCCCCTTGTTGCCCGCAAATGGACAGATGCTAAGAGCAGGTGTAAACAACAGCTTTCTGCTCCACTCATTTAGTTTCCGGAGGATGTGGAAGCAGCACTGTAGTTATGCACTGCTGTCACTGTGGAGAGTCTGCATCTGCATTCTGTACAAATCCCCTCACTCACACTCAGCAGGGGCCACTAGCTGTTCAGCATCTTCTGTGTTTAACGTGCTCTCCGTGTATCTCCCTCCCAAATGAGTTAATGATAATTCTGTCCTCCAGAGAAAAGTAGAGCAAAGATAGGAAAAGAAAGAGCGACAAAGAGAGTGTTGCTGCTGGGAACCAGACGAGTAAAAGCTTAACAATGATCTCCTCGTTGTAATTGACATTTATGAAACCACAAGGGGAAACACATTTTACTTTTATGATTATCATCACGTCTGTTCAATCAAATTAATTTACATTGCCTTCAGTTCAGACTAGGATGGCCTTGATCTTAACTTGTGACTACACAGTGGGGACTGCGGATGGATTTTGAATTTCCTGCTGTGGGGTGGTGACAGTCCATAAGCAGTGAACACTCTTTTCAACTTTCACCAGCGCATTTTGAACTCTTGCAGCTCAGCAAATTCGTCTCTAAACTGTGTCTCAGCTTAGGAGAGTGTGCATATGGAAATCTTTACCTAACAATACACAGCTCAGTGAGGAGGTAAAACGAGATCTTCTTTACACAGGGATACTTTCGAATCACGGAAGTGTGCACTGCCTATAAATATAAGATGCAAATGTGTACGTACACCCCCCCCCCCATGCATGTTGGTCCCAGTTATTAGCCATCTTCTTTGTGCGCGCCCCAAACAAGAAAACGCAATCTGTAAAGATTTCCTGAAGCCGCAAGGTGCACTCACACAAATCCTGCAAGCTTTGTGCTACACTGAGCATACTTTATAGCACAGTGTCTCTCTCTGGAGTCAGATGTGTGAACTATTTCACCAACAAATGAAGAAAGAAATAACAATAAAAAAAAACACACACACACAAGGACTTGCAGAAGCCGGCAGAGCTCCCAGGACAGGAGATAAGAGGCAGCAGCCTAGTGTGGCCTCTCTGGTCAAGCATAACTTAAAAGAGGAATCGCACATATTTCTCAGGTGGCAGATGGAGTGCTGAAAACAAAATGAATCATCATTTGAGATGAAAGCACAAGGGGACTCGCTTTTATAGCGAATAATAAATACTGAACATTTAAATGTCTTCCTTCGAGTTTACTTACAGTATTTCCTACAGCAGGAGCTGAAGAGCTACACAAACATGAAAAGTAGAAATTGATGAACACATAACTGAGCATGCTAGTGTGTCATTACTGAACCACACACTACATTATGAAACATGTTAAACTAACTAATCTACTTAACCTACATAAAGTCTGACACAGTGAAGTTGAGCTACAGCTCCTCCTCTATAAAGCAGAATGTATCTGTACGGAGGACCAAACAAGAGAAAGTTGGAGTTATTAGCCCGCTCACAGTGAATTAGCAACAACCATTACATATGCCCTTTAATAACAGAGCACAGCACGTCTGAACGTACGCTTGCTCATGAATGCTACTCAAACAGAGCACAACACCACTAATAAGCTTTATTTTGTAAACACAAGCTAGCAAGCTAGGTATCTACCCTTGCTATGGTTTAACACTGTAGTGACCCGGTTATTCAAACTAAGATACACAAACGCTGTCAAGCGGCTGTGTTTGCTCCGGCAGGTCATTAACCTGTGAACAACTTCTGTAGGTCACATTAACAGCCGAGCTACAGGCGGCGTTAGCTCATGCGTTAGCCTGTCGTTGGCTAACCGGCTGCGGGGATAAAGGAGCTAACTGTAGTCGGCTACCTTCAGTCAGTCCGCTGAATGTCCGGTGTTTAGCCCTGAGAAAGATATCCTCGCTGCCAGCCATAGGGTCCAGTGGTTCAAAAAAAAAAAAAAAAACTGTCCGAGCAAACAAATGTGGGACTTGTGAGCCTGTCAGCAAGCCTCCGGACAGGTAGCTGTAGGCTGGCCCCCGCTGTCTATCGGGGAGTATCGGTGGTCGACTACACTGCCTGTTTGTGCGCGACTTCAGCTGCAGCGGCCCCCAGTGTGGCTGCTCAACACAGGCTGTCCCAGTACAGCAGCCCGCAGGCACAAAGCACAAAGCCTTTTACATATTTACTCTCGGAATACCAAAGCACACACACCCTTTAACGTTTAATGAAATACAGCCGACAAAATATGTTTTAAATATGTAAAGTGAACGAGCCTAATTCTTTCAGGGACTCCCAGGGGAAGCCCATGGGTGTTTTTTTTTTTACCTGACTGGAGAAGCTGTTTGTGGGGTTGCGTTCATATTTTTCTAATATTGGAATGAATGTTAATCTTGGTTTTGCTCGCTTTCTCTGCACCCAGACAGTTCAAATCACCTCGAAGAACAAATTCAATAGGCACAGACCACTTGTGTTTCAGGTTTTTATAAGCATGTTTTGCAGATGATGACATTATCGTACACGTTTTTATGCTCTTCAGCTCAACTCAGAAAGTTGATTTGAGTTCATTTTTTTTTTCTCTCACAGCATAGTTTGAAAAAAAAAATTGAAGAGCTTGAGATATTCACTGAATATGAAACTTACTCCTGTACAGAGAGTTTTGCTTGCACCAACTATTGCCTATTGGCCACTGTTTCTGAAACACTGTTTGAGGGAGAGACATTCTCCAGTGTGAGAATTTCCAGCTGAACAAATAAGGACCATGTCCATTGTTTTAAGGATTAAAAAACACTTTTTTTGGTTGTGTCTTTTAGTTAGGGCGCGTTTGGAATAAGGACTGTGTCTTCATGGGCATTACTGCTTAGGAATCCTTATTGTTTTTAAAAAAGTTCCCAGGGATCTAGCAGACATTACATCCTGGGGCCACATCCTTTCTTTTACAAAAACCCATCCCCTGCTTTTAGAAGCTGTGCCAGCCACTTCCTACTGCTGCACATTAAGCTACTTGTGTTTTCAGGATTTAGAAAACAATGGCAACCTACGACTGAAAATGCATAAAGTGGAAGAATAAAATGGGGGGGGGGTTCCCACGCCTTTCCTCGACGGCAAAATAGAAGAGTGATGTACGTATTCCGGGGCTTTTATCATAATATTTCACTATAAAGGCGCTCTCTCTCTCTCTCTC